TCCTTGAATTGCTAATACTTTCGACATTCACGTTCTTTCCTAATATTTCAATCGCGAATGAAACACGACACAAAAATGATTCTTGAAAAATATCTTCTCCCTCGTCACTTACATACATACGTCTTCGTTTCGTCACCAGAATTAACATAACTCCTTTACGTAATATCACCTCTAAAGAATTTTCATTTATCTCGAACGACAAGTCGGAGCGAAGATACATCTCTCGCGGAAGATGCAGGATAATCGGTAACCTTGAGATTCGGCGCGCTTCGGAGAATAAACGGCAGCGGCTATATCTTCGGGCTGCGCGAGACTCTGTGAAATATATAGTAGGATAAATAGGACAGGATACGGCCGCTCCTACGCGCCGTTTCAAACTCAACCTTGGAAATCACCGGTACGAGAAGGAGTAATTCTATCTTCTCGCTATATCGTATCGACAAGTTCAACGGAATCTTTCCGTTCCATCGAATCAATATTTATGAACGAGCATCGGCAGATTTGAATTTGAAACTAGCACAGGGATGAATAAAATTATTGAAAATTAACAGGTTCTCGAAACAACAACTGAATACAGTTCTTCGAACTAGCTGCCGAACGAAGAAAGTAACAATGTCACTTTTCTCTTTCACAGACGAACAAGAACGCGTGCAGAAGAAGACCTTCGTCAACTGGATCAACTCCTACCTCTCCAAGGTGAGGAAAATTCACTGGAATCGTTTTCTCGAGACGGGGACAATAGGGTGAACGAAGTTTCAGATTTTGTCGCGTGAATGTCGGAGTATTATAGGTCGTTCGATGGGTCTTGACCTCAGCTCTTACGTCACAACGATAAAAATATGTACTCCTGTTTAAAAAGGCATCGGTGATCTTGAAATCTCGAGAAACGTGCCCATGCACGACCTTTGACATTTTTTTTTTTATATTATCAGAAATAAGCGATAGATATTCGAGGTGATCGAGATACTTGGTTCACCCTGTATACACTTCCTGTACGCAGAACGTTACGCAAACTCTACCTCTTCTTCTTCCTCCTCCTTTCTCGTATTTTATCGTCCCTTCTATATAATAAGACACGGTCGAAATTACTTCTCATCACGAATATCAAAAGTTTAGCGGAATAACTCGTGCCTGGCTCGCGAGTCTCGATACCACTCCCCTACTTCCGCACTTCCGGATACTTGGAAACTTCAATTAGAAATCCCGACTTGCTCCCTCGTCACATGCATGCCCCAGAAGCGGCACGACACTGTGTTCGATTATGTCCACCGCTGGAGATTTCGCGAAAACGTCCCTTGTTCGGTGTGTCTCCGTGCATCTCATTTCTCTCTAGATGTTGAGAATAAATTGGAGAAACGTGGAGGATCATTTTAGAAATTCTAACGATGAAGGACGTTTCTTTTCGAGTCGTTCGTCCTTTTTTTTCTTTATTATCGGAGATATTTCGTAATTGATATTGTGGCTGTTTGGAGAATTTCGTCGGGAGTATCGATGCAAAAGACGTGACTTTTCAGAGATCGCCACCGCTTCGAGTGGACGATTTGATCGAGGACCTTAAGGACGGCACTCGCCTACTCGCGCTCCTCGAGGTTCTGTCCGGTGAGAAGCTGGTAAGTTGCCTGTTACTGCTGCACCATCGCAACTCTGATCGATAGAATAGTCTCGTGTGATGCGCGTTCCTCTTGCTCTCTCTCTCTTCCTCTCTGTTCGCAGCCGGTGGAAAGAGGCCGTAACTTGAAGAGACCGCATTTTCTTAGCAACGCCAATACCGCGCTGCAGTTCTTGCAGAGCAAGAAGGTGAGTCCATTTTCACTTTCGCTCGCCTGGAGAATTCAAACTTTAAATTTCGAAAATTTCCATTTTAAATATCGAAAATTCGAATCTGAAATTTCAGATTCAAAGTTAAAATTTCAAAAATTTCAATTTTAAGTTTCAAAGATTCAAATTTGAAATTTCAAAGATTCCAATCTGGAATTTCAAA